ACCCCCCCCCCCCCCGGTCTTAAATCATACTTTTTTTGTCTTTAATTTTCTTATTTTATAAACAATAAATTAAAATTAGATAATTCAAAATAGTCATTTTAAAAAGGGACGATGAAAAATTACTAAAAGTATGGTTCCATCTATGTTTCCATCCACGTGCCCCATTGCAAAAAGATGGACAGCCGAGTCATGTCATGTCCTTTGATAGTCCTTTTATTATGTTTATTTTTTTTTATATAAATTTGATCATTTGTAATTATTTTAAAAAATTACAAAAAACTGTATACTAAATTTTCTTAATAATTAAAGTTGCCAAGAAAATATTATAACTGTCTATATACAAACGTTAAATCAATAGGTAATATACCAAACTAGAAGTTAAAAGAATATACAACATGAATTAAGATTAATGCAAAAATTAATTTTTGTTCTTTTATTTTTAGTTTTGTTATCTTCTTTTTTTTTTATAGTAAATGACATTTCACTAACGAATCTTCAAAGTTTCCATTCCAATCTTTAAATTTTTGGAGGTGAAGAAAAAGTTTAAACCCTTATCCTTTAGATTTTATGTTTTGTTTCAAATGGAAAATCATGTATTATATATATATATATATATATATATATATATAATTAACAATATTCTTGATTTTGTTGAATTAACTATGTGAATCCTATCACAGCCTAAAATATTTAGGATTCATTTTTTATGAATTAGTAGAGCATATATAGGATGTACGGCTATATATATATATATATATATATGATACGTGAAGATATTATTTTTTCTTTTTATAATTTATAGTGTGAAATTCTTAGTTGGAGCACAAATCTCGGCTTAATCAGCGTATGAAATATAGCGTTGAAGGCGAAAATCATCATTGCAATGTCAAATGATTACGCAGAAAGTTTTAATGTAAAGCCACTCTCCTAATGGCTTAGTTCTAATAGTAATCATTGGTTATATTTTCCTAATATTATTTTTTACAATAAAAATATATTTAAACATTTTGCCTTTTTTTTTTAATATTCCTATTGTCCTCGAGGCAACGATGTGCTTCCATGATTATGTTTATTCTTTTCCTTATAAATAAAACTAGGAGAAAGAAAACAGCGGGAGAAAATATTTAAATAAAAAATTTAAAATCTTAAAACAACGAAAGTGTAGTATCTTCTACAAAACCTCGGAATGAAGTAGAGGTTCTGGAACTTCGAAACGAAAGAGAGGTTTTGAAAGGACGGAGGGACAAAGCTGTCATCTGACCTAAGATTATCGAACTCTGGTTGCGTTTTGGTTTTTTCGATTCTTGGTTCTCTTTCTTGTTGCGAGTCCTTGGCTCTTCGGTGCGTCGAGGTCGACTCCGGTCGATTTTCCGACATGATTCTTAATCCTAGATACATAATTTCCTCTTTCGGAAATGTAAGTACCAGATTTCCTTCGGTACTGAATTCGTACATCGCGTATCGACTCTCTTTCTTCTCTGTTCTTGATACAAACGTGTGAGTTGGAGCGAATCGTTGAGGAGTAGAACGCTGGAAACTATCTAGGAAATATAAAAAATAAAAACATTGTCAAAATTCTTTATATAAACGTGAGAAAATGAGATCGACCATATACTTTCAAAAATAAAATATTAAAAACGTTTGTATGTATATATAAATGAATAGAATGTTTAAAAACGATGAAAAGGTTCGTTACTTACATGCGTATAATACATGATTTAATAAAAGATTTTGAGATTTTGAGTTTTAAAATAGATATATCAATAATATTAAATTCAATTCGTGAATATAACTAGTTTATTTTGACAAAAATAAAAACTAGTTTCATTAATAAAAATATATCTCTTGGAATATTAGGTATAAAATGTTAAAGAGACTATCTTGTGTTTAGTTTTATTAATGTTTTTAAAATATCTAAAATAGTATAATTTGTTTTTTAAACATTGTAGATAATTCTTTTCATATCATTTTCGATTTATATTTAGATTCTGACATATTTTTTTTATAAAGTTTGGTCCCACGTGTCGGGGCGGTGCCAGATGCCCTTTTACCCATACTAAGAAGCCCCACCAATACCATTCCTCGCCACAAAATCCCTAACCTTTAAAAAAATTATTTCTTCAATATTTATCGAGTACGATCATTCCTCGATTAAACTACTGTTTATTTCAAGCTACAATGATTAACTTTGATATATATATATATATATATATATATATATAATAGTATAATACCAAGAATTCTTCATGCATTCAATTTGAATGATGGAAATATATTTTATGTCATATATGGTTTTATTTATATTTATATATCATAGATCGATTCCGTAAACATCGGTATACAAAATTTCATGAAAGCATTAGAGCCGCCTAAAAGACGAATTATTCCCATCGATCCACACGTTTAAGTTGTTAATTGTAATCATTTTCTTAACTCATATACATACATCTATATATATATATATATATTCCCAATAAAAGAATGATCGATGAAAAGAAACCCAAAATATATCCCTTTGGAAATTTCAAAAAACAATTCAAATAATATATAAGTATATTTCAATTGAACGTAATATATATTTGTTGATTATAATTTTTTAAAATTTAAATAGTTTAAATTTAAAAATGTGAAGATAATTAAGAAAATAAAATCTATTAGGAAAGAAATAAATTTTCAAATAGAAATAAATTCGAATAGAATTTAAAGTAAAATAAATTTACGCATAAAATTGAATATATATATATATATATATATATTTTGTAAAACGAAATACAGTTTTATTGGTCAAGGTAACGATGCAATTAATTTGTAATTTGTATATATACAATTACAAGGCAGAATCAGCTTTTGTTTTCATTACATACATATGAATCAAATTGCATTCATGATATTTTATATTTTATATTTTATATTTACATCGAACTTTTTTCAATTTCATCATTGGATGCCAAAGGGAAAAATAAATAAAGAAAGAAAGAAAACAAATGAAATCGAAGGTTCATTACTTTGATTTGAGGAAACAAAAACAATAAATAAATAAAAGAAAAGACATGCTTACATATTAATGTCTGAATGTTTGCGACATTAAAGAAACAGATGTCTTCGCTCAACAAGATTATTGTGTCTTAAATTTACATTTACCAAAGAAGATTATTGTGTCTTGCTCTTAATGATGGACAAATCGGGTTTGGGTTCGGTTATAACAAGTACATTTTCTTCAAATGATTATAAATATATATATATATGTCACGACATTTTGTAATATATTTTTATCAGATATATCTTTGTGCTGATAAAGAATACACCATATAGTTCATATGGTATTGTTTGTTACAACATATGATTCAATATGGAATTAAAGAAAAAGTCCGAAAAGAAATATTTTCCAATGTAGAAGAGTTATTTGAGAAACTCTGAATTACAAAATATCTGATTGCTTTTTTTTTTTTTTTTTTAACTGAATGGGACAGTTTGGTCAAGAGATGGTCAGAGGAAAGAATTACCTAAAGTACTGTACATAAAATATTTTACATAAAAAGAAATAGAAATGGAGAAATTGTGTCAGATGGATTTATGCAGCCTTCATTCGTTTATTCATCGCATTCACCTTTGCAGTGTCTCTCGTGAATATATATATATATATATATATATATATATGTAAACTTTCCAATCAGGAATTACTCTGTTATAATATATATATAAAAAGATTAAAAAAAACTCCCTCCTCTCTCTCTCAGAATCTGAGTGAGTGAGTGAGTGAGGATCTTTGTTTGGTTCTGCAATCATATTTCCGTGATATAAACACACGGAATGCGTTTCATCTCTTCGCCATAGAGACCCCTATTCCATCTCCAGTCTTTCCCTTTTTTCTTTCTTCTGCAAATCTTTTGAAGGGTTTCTCCCCCTCTTCACCCTGAAATTATGCTCTCTCTCTCAAAAGCAGATTCTTTCTTTGGCAGGATTCTCAGTTGGGTTTTGTCCGGAAACAGCAGTAAACAGTTACCTTGACTCTAAAACCAGGACTTTTTCCGGCTTTCATGGCGGAAAGAGCAAGGGCTTTCTTTTCCTTTCTTCTTCTCACCTTCTTCACGGCCCTTCGCGTGGTTTAAACCCCAAATCAATGTTATTCAGCCATTCAATCTCTTGGCGGTTACTCTTCTTTCTCTGTCTGGAGGAGGGACAAGGAAGAACAACTTTTGTCCGGTCTCAGAGAAAAAAAAAATGGTCCCTTGGTGCATGTCAGTTCTTCTGATTATTGGGTTTCTGTCAAAATCCGAGCTTGTGGAAGCGCGGCTAAGTGACGAAGCCACATTGGCAGCCATTAACAGAGAGCTCGGAGTTCCTGGGTGGGGCGACAATGGCACAGATTTCTGCACTTGGTCCCGGCTCAGGTGTGGCGCCAACCACTCGGTTGTTGAAATACTTGATCTATCAGGTCTTCAGCTTAGAGGTAATGTCACTGTAATATCTGAGCTCAGGAGCTTGAAACATCTAGATCTTTCGAACAACAACTTCAATGGACCAATCCCCTCAGCTCTTGGCAACTTGTCTGAGCTCCAGTTTCTTGATTTGTCCCTGAACCGGTTTGCTGGTAAGATTCCAGTTGAGTTTCTTAAGCTTAGAAACCTCAGAGCCCTTAATCTTTCCAACAACTTGCTCGTGGGGGAGATACCCGATGAGCTCAAGGTTCTTGAGAAGTTGGAGGAGTTTCAGGTCTCTAGCAATGGTTTGAATGATTCCATACCCGAATGGGTCGGGAATCTGAGAAATCTCAAGGTCTTTACAGCATATGAGAACGAATTATCAGGTGAGATACCTGATGGGTTGGGCTCTGTATCTGAACTGGAATTGTTGAATCTTCACTCGAACCGGCTTGAAGGGAAGATACCGAGGAGCATGTTCGAAAGGGGCAAGCTTCAAGTTTTGGTCTTGACGCAGAATAAGTTAACTGGTGAACTCCCAGAAACAGTAGGAATCTGCAGTGGCCTTTCCAGCATTAGGATTGGGAATAATGAGATTGTGGGAGTCATCCCCAGGACAGTTGGAAACATCAGTGGCCTTACATACTTCGAAGCAGACAGTAACCGTCTCTCGGGGGAGATAGCTGCAGAGTTTTCCAAGTGTTCTAATCTCACTCTTCTGAATCTGGCCTCAAATGGGTTCAGTGGAACCTTTCCCAAAGAGCTTGGTCGGCTTATGAATCTTCAAGAACTGATTCTCTCGGGTAATAGTCTCTATGGGGATATCCCGGAATCGATTCTTGGATGCAGAAACCTTAACAAGCTTGACTTGCGAAATAATCGGCTTAATGGCACCATACCAAGTGACATCTGCAACATGCCAAGACTTCAGTTCTTGCTCTTGGACCAGAACTCGATAAGAGGGGAGATACCTCGAGAGATAGGAAACTGCTCGAAGCTTCTTGAGCTACAACTGGGGAGAAACTATTTGACAGGAACTATCCCACCCGAGGTTGGTCGGATGAGGAATTTGCAGATAGCCCTCAACTTGAGTTTCAATCATCTCCATGGATCACTGCCTCTTGAGCTAGGGAAGCTCGACAAGTTGGTTTCTTTAGACGTCTCTAATAACTTGCTCACGGGTTCCATACCACAGTTGTTCAATGGCATGTTAAGCTTGATCGAGGTTAATTTCTCCAATAACCTCCTGAATGGCCCGGTTCCAATCTTTGTTCCGTTTCAGAAGTCTCCAAACTCGAGCTTTTCTGGAAACGAAGGGCTTTGCGGGGAACCATTGAGCACTTCATGTGGATATCCTGATGGTCTTGAACATCTGAAATACAATCACAAGGTTTCGTACAGGACAATACTGGTTGTAATTGGTTCTGCCATGGCTGTCTTTGTATCAGTCACTGTGGTGGTTCTGCTCTTCATGATGAGGGAGAAACAAGAAAAAGCAGCTAAAAGTGTAGACGTTGAGGAAAATCCCGAGGATAACCAACCGATAATCGTGGCAGGAAATGTCTTCCTTGAGAATATGGAACAGGAGATCGATCTAGGTGCAGTTGTGAAAGCAGCTACGAAGGAATCGAACAAACTCAGCACGGGAACTTTCAGTTCAATCTATAAAGCAGTCATGCCTTCCGGTATGGTCATTTCGGTGAAGAAGCTCAAATCCATGGACAGAACCATAACCCATCATCAGAACAAAATGATAAGGGAGCTCGAAAGGCTAAGCAAGCTTTGCCATGATCATCTGGTCAGACCAATCGGGTTCGTGATATATGAAGACGTTGCTCTTTTGTTGCATCAGCATTTCCCAAATGGTACATTAGCTCAGATTCTTCATGAACCCACAAAGAAGCCCGAGTGCCAACCTGACTGGCCAGCAAGACTGTTGGTTGCCATTGGAGTAGCCGAAGGATTAGCATTTCTCCACCATGTCGCCATCATTCACCTCGACATTTCCTCTAGCAACGTCTTTCTTGATGCCGGCTTCAAACCAGCGCTCGGAGAAATCGAGATATCGAAGCTCTTAGATCCATCCCGAGGAACTGCAAGTATCAGCGCAGTCGCAGGCTCCTTTGGTTACATTCCTCCAGGTTAAGGTCTCATTTTACACTATTCCTCCATAAACCCGAGCCTTTCCTCATCGTTTCCTCTGGTTTCCCCCCCTCAGAATACGCGTATACAATGCAAGTTACAGCACCGGGGAACGTATACAGCTACGGGGTGGTATTGCTGGAGATTCTCACCACGAGACCACCAGTTGATGAAGAGTTTGGTGAAGGAGTGGACTTGGTGAAATGGGTTCATGGAGGGCCAGCAAGAGGAGAAACACCTGAGCAGATACTGGATTCAAGGCTCAGCACTGTGTCCTTTGCTTGGAGGAGAGAAATGCTTGCTGCTCTGAAAGTGGCATTGCTCTGCACTGATCTCACACCTGCGAAAAGGCCGAAGATGAAAAGAGTGGTGGAAATGCTTCAGGAGATCAAGCAGAGCAAGTGAGAATACTGACCTTTTTTTTGTCCAAACCCTTTCAAGAATCACTCAGAAAAGCTTGTTCTTCTCTGTATTGTAGAGTTTCTTTGTCAATGGAGACTTCGGGTTATTGATATGAACAAACAGAGAGCAAGGAAGTGGATCACACGAAAAACCGGCAAGAGAAACAGATTGTTTAAACAAAATATTGAGTCTAAACTAAAAATGTAACACAGACGGAAAAGCCACCAGAGCATATAATGGAAGCTTTTCAATGAGTGCCATAAGCCAAGCCAAGAACATTGTTCAGAAAGAAGAAGTGATTGGAATGATCCAACATTAGAATTAAAGATCATAGATTACATGACCACCTGAAAATTTAGGTGGCAGAGAATGTTGTGTTTTGTCTTTTTCCCTAC